TGAGACGGTAACTTAAAAAATGTAACTTGAGACATTCCGTTATGGTGTTCATTTTCTATCATTTATTATTTCGTTACATTTTCTTTCGCGACTGTCTTTTTTTCAGTGTGATGTATTAACGATACTGCTAACTATGTGTTACCACCATAGTTTGACATTTGATTTCTCATTGAATGAAAAAATTAAATGATAGAATATTGATGATGTGGTTTCGGGAAGAAACGTCGAGAAATACATATGTTGTGATATGTCAACGAATTTGTGATTATGATAACTACGAAAATGTATAAAAAAATATACAGGTCCGTATTTAAAAATATATATTGATGATGGAATTCAATGAACGAAATATTGCATTGAAAAATGAGTGCACCAGATTATAAAGCACATGAAATAAAGCAAAGAGTTTCTTTGTCATTTTTTGAAATTATTGAAAATGGAGGCGATAGAGCAAAAAATAAAATCTGTCATTTTGAGTTTTTTTTGCAAATATCTCACAAACCGTTGATGATTTTATGGATCTAAAAATACCATTGTGTTGCATCCCTAAAAAGGTAACTTTTGTTCAACTCAACCATCCTTGTAGGACCTACCATTTCCGAGATAGCAATAGCGGTATCAGCTAAAAAATACGACCAGTATATTGAGGGTTATAAAACATTGAGCAAATTTGGGATGATATGGAAAAAATAAACAGTTTTTCCATTTTTTATACTGAAACAATATTTATTGGCACGAATACGAAACGGATGGTGAATTTAAAATAAAGGGCATGCAAAAAAAGCGATGACGGTCTTACTTATTGTACCTCGCTTGATCCTGTCGCAAGTATTGTAGTTCGATCCTGGTACGGGTGGAAGTTTTCTATTAGGTGGGGCGATGTAGCCTAATTCGTCTCTCAGATCAGGACGACGTTTGTCCATTGTAGATGTTGCATTGCAGGACTGATTATATACCACGTCATCTAGATCAAAACAAACAAGATGATGTTAACAACCGAAAGTTTTCAAAGTTTCGAGATGACAGATTGATGGATATGCTCAACGAAAAATAAATATTGGACACTACTGATGTAGAACTAGTCATCCAAAAATTCAAATGTTGATTTATGGATTAATGGTGGCAAAGCAGTTATTCTCAGTTGTTTTGAGTGATGCCTTGAACATATACTGTGACAGTCATGTATGTCAGTGCTCTTCCATTTATCACGTTGAGTAGTTTTCCTGTGAATTATTTCTGTTTCAATTCCAATTTGTGCAATTTGATGTTCAAATAAAAGTATTTGTTTCGAAAGTACTTTTTCTTTCACATAACATCACACAACATCATTGTTATTAAAATTACAAATTTTATACTTCTAGCTGAAGATGCAAGGTTGAAGTCCTAAACGTATCCTCTAAAATCTGAAGAATGTCCGTTCCAAACAATAGACAATGATATCTATTCAATCAGCTGTCAAGAATGATAATAGTGACATGAACATGTAATATAAATGCAAAATAATAAAAAAATGTTATCACAAAAACATGCAGTTAAAAACGTGTTAATGAAAAACCCATGCATAAAAAACACACTTTATATTGGTTAATGAATGATTCATGAAAATGAGTTGAAGAACCTAATCTAATAGTAATAGATCACGCTCACAACTCACTTACCCTGTTCATCTTCTGAAAAACATTGATGTTTTAATTCTTGTTCTACATTCATGATTTTTATAACAAAATGTCAGATTTCATTTACATTGACGTTATACATTACGCTCACATCGCGACCAATATATAGTTCATGCTGTGTTAATTAACACACGGTAGGTGGAACAATCTTTCAGCCAAACAATAAAAAATGATACGAGGGTCGTTTGAAAAGTTAAGTTCTTTGTCAGTTTCAATTTGAAAGGTAACAAAGATATTTATTTTGTTTCCCTCAGTTATCTCAATGGTGCGGTTTTGTTCCATCCTTTTCATAGAAGAGGACGTATGCTTCTCCACTCACAAGCAATTTTGATGAAATTGGTGACAGGTGTGAATCATTTTATTTGTGTCATGCACCAGTATACGGGTGTCTGCAGTATGCTGTATAATGCCCGTTGTAAGTAGTCCCACTGTACTTTAAAAGTGCATATAGATTATAACAACAAGTAGCCACACTTTCTGGTGCAAAATTATCCATATTAAATCGATGACATCATTCAATTTACCTCTAAATCTTTCCGTTGGAGAGAATTTTTTTAAGTGAGTTATTAAAATATGGGGAAACTTGTGGATCGATAGGGACTTTGTGCATTTTCTCCTTTCCTTGCATTTCGAACACGTCGGTTTTTCAATTCCATACAAAGTTTCTTCCCTTGTAAACGAATCCAAGCATTGCCACAAACTCAATTCGTCGGTTTTTTGTGGCATAGAGAGACACAAATCCCAGAAAGTATCAAAGGTTAGTGACAAGTGTCCACAGTGTATGCATTTCATCGTAGATTTCAATTTACCAACGAAGTTATCTACAATCTTAGAGTTATGCATCCTCAAATATGTGGATTTTTGTCATGGCTGCCGCTGAGGTGTGAGACGGCCCAATCTCATTGTGAATGGTGCATCCAAATTTCATCTACAGTAATTAATCGGAGACAAAACTCGGATTTATTGCGCTTAAACTGCGTCGACAGAGCGTTGGAAATGTTCAAACGCGGCACCCAACGCGCGGACATTTTTCTCATCCCTAAATGCCGATTTAATATGTGACAAACACGTTCTTTTGACATGTTCATAACCTCTGCTATCTCTCTCACTTTAATTCGGAATTGCAGTTTTTGACGTCCCGAACGTTCATCGTCTCCCAAGCTCTTATGACTACGTTTAAATTCAGCTGTTCAAAATTTCACTGCAGTAAATGATGGTGCAGTACCCATACACAGATTCTAACTCATCTTTGATTTGCCTAGGCGTACTGCCTTTCGAAAACAAATATTTAATGACAGCTCGATACTAGATTTTGTCCATTTTCATAAAAACACTCAGCTCAACTCACTCAAACGACTTTTACATAACAACTGCGCGTCCGAAATAGCTGAAACTTTGGTGATCAACTGCCAACAGATGAACAACGAAAGTCACTAGCTTTCATTTACTAGTGCTGCCATCTTCATGTTGGGGTCGGAAACTTTTCAGACTACCCTCGTGAAAGTGCTTGTGTGGATAAATTTCAAGGAATAGTGATGAACTAAGTAAAAAAAGTTAAACATATATGGTAACACAAAAAAAAATACAAAATTGTCTAGAATAGAACTCAATATAGATAAAATATAGCAAAAAAATTCGGTATATAAGCATATAAAGCTTATCGACAACAAGCCAACAGATATATACAATGTTAATAAAGCCTGACATAATTTTATGATTCAGAAAATTACTTTCAACAACGAGTCATAGAGAGTATGGGGAATGAAAAGGAAAGTTAACTTGAAATCCTAATCTTACCGCCATACGTTCGACTGTTAATAAGCTGATCTCTATCACATTCGGCTTCGGATATTTCGTTGCTATCTTTCGAGTCGTTGAAAGACTGATCATGATTGCGTGGTGGTGGGGGTGGAGGTTCCGGGCTACCGTTGTTTGGTGGTACTCTTAGTGAACCTAAAGATCTGCGTCCAATAGATCCTCTGCTTCCGTATTGATCATATGGTGCTCCATATCCGCCGTACTGGGATCCGTATTGCTCGTCTTCTGGTGCACAATTAGCTGGATCATCATATTCTGGGCCAGGAGAGTAAATACTACCATTACCTACAAAACAATCCGGTTTCAATACATTTTTTTTCGTATTAATTTTCATGTAACATCTAGAGGGCGCTGCGTACGCTGTCATTATTTATTTCAAATCGCCTTAACTTTTTTAACAGTAAACTTTTTGTACTTTTCATGAAAAAACCTAATTCCCAAACCTTGTGTGGCAATTTGAAATGAATAATGACAGCGTACGCAGCGCCCTCTAGATGTTACATGAAAATGAATACGAAATTATGGTTTCCCACGTCAAAAAAACCCCGGGTACCGAATTTCGTGCAAATAACTCATTTTTTGCAAGAGTTATTTCCGGAAAAGTGAAGAAAATAATTCAATTTCAGCATCCCGTATCTTCGAAATGAAGCATTTTCGGACACAAGTTCATATATACTTTTTTTCTTAAAATTTCTCAGGAATACGTCACTTGAATATTTTAACGTAGTTATGTTACACCCTGTATATATACCCATATGCATAATGCTGTTGTACACGTAATACTGAACAATTACTAACCTTGAGAACCGACTCTATCATATCTGTTCCTGTTTTGACGTGGCATAGATTGAGATCCATTACGGGAATGAATTCCATGAGGAGTGTTCATTCCAGAAGGACCCATTGTCCCGGCATGAGGATGAGGGAAGGTCTGGAATTGCATTGCCTTTGTTGGGTCCATTTCTTCGCGGAATCCAAGCAGATGGAAAGTGGCATACGGGCAAATTTCATCATCCATACCTATAAAAATCATGCAATCAATATCTTCGAAAGATGATAACTAATTTGTATTAAAAAAATTAGTTAGTGCTATCTTGAACATTTTTTTTTGGTAGAAGTCTACTATGTAGATCATAAAAATTTCAGCTCTTTAGTTTGTTGGTGAGAGGCATAAAAGTTAGAAATGTTTTGTTTGTTCGGTGTGTGGCAGAGACGTTCTTTCCAAAATTGCTGAATTTTGACCAAAAAAATCGTCGCCTGAGCATCGCTCAGGAATTGTTGAACAACATCAACGGCTTAACGACGATCTAGATTTGCTCAAAAGGGTCATAACTGGTGACGAATCATGGGTATATGGTAATGGCCCCGAAACCAAAGTCCAATCGTCCCAATGGAAGGGCCCAGCAGGACCAATACCAGAAAAGCACGCCAAGTTCGATCAAATGTCAAGGTTTTGCTAACTGGTTTTGGATTTGATTTTCAAAACAACACAAAAAATTTGAAAAAATTGATGAAATCTTTATTGAAATCGATAGAACGATCAATATAATTTAATGTTTGAAGATGATTTCATGCAAACGTTGTCCGCGGCTCCGCTTTAGATAGCCTATACGTAGGTCCAATTTTGGCACACTCTCTCTAACATATCGACCGGTATTTCACGTACAAATGCTTCAATATTCGCTTCCAGAGCGTCAGTCGTTGCTGGTTTATCAATGTAGACATGAGCCTTAACATGACCCCACAAGAAATAATCCAAAGCCGTTAAATCACACGATCTAGGCGGCCAATTGACTGGCCCCAAACGTGAGATCAAGTGTTCACCGAAGTCGGATCTTAATTGGGCCATTGTTTCGCGTGCCGTGTGGCATGTGGCACCGTCTTGTTGAAACCACATGTCAGGCATGTCCAATTCTTCCATTTTGGGCAACAAAAAGTCGTCAATCATCACATGGTAGCGCTCGCCATTCACAGTAACGTTCAGGCCATTGTCGTCTTAATGTGGATCTTCCTCCAACTTTGCCAGCGCCAATTCACCAAATGTTAGACGTTGTGGGAGGTCGTGTGGCTTCAATTTTTGCACCAGCCATTTCTTATAAGGATTTACACCCAAATCCTTTCGCAAAATTTTCTACCTAGTGGAGTAACAGAGACCCAATTGCTGCAAACAGCGGCGAATCGACATTACACGGTCATCACGAACACTGGCGGATACAGCCGCAATATTTTCTTCGGTCCTCACTCTTCGTATGCTTGTTGGTGGTTTAATGTCCAATAATGTAAACTGGGTTCAAAATTTAGTCACAAGCTTCCGAATAGATCCCTCACTAGGCCGACGAAACTGCCCATAAATTGGAAGAAGTGCACGGTGCACTTTCTTCACCGAACATGAATTTTGATAAAATCCAATAATTTGCAAGCGTTATTCATTCGTAAGTCGATTCATGGTTGAATTAAAAACCAAACTGAACAAGTCTGACAATGACACAAGAAACGATTCACGCGTGATCTGTCACGGTATTGTGGAAAAACAATTAATGGCTTTCGCAACACGATAATGAACTTGCTGACTCGTCATTGCTTGTTCGTAATTTTTTGGCCAAAAACAACACCGTAATCATACTTTAGCCACCGTATTCATCAGGCTTGACCCCCTGCGACTTTTTTCTGTTCCCAAGATTAAAGAGACTCATTGATGGACGGCGTTTTGCGACGATTAAAGAGATAAAAACCGAATGATATACTAGAAAGTACATAGGACAGAATAGAAATTGATGAATAAATGAATATTGTTTGACCTGAAAAATTATTTCTCACTGAAAATTCAACTACACTACACCTAGGTAAGATTCTTATTACAATCACATTTCATTTTGAATTCAAAATAGCACCACTCGACTTGGATATTAATGAATTGGAAATAACTAGTCTAGCTATCAATTCATTTACATCTGTGAGAAAATACTAGATTATTTCAGTCAACATGCTGGATTTCTGAAATAACAATGCAAATACCAATCAAAGGCAACATGCGGTTGAAAAGAATTGTTTAGCGAAGAAGCATATTGAAAACTTACTTGTTTATGAAAACATGAGCATATTATTGTTAGTGTCAAAGGTGTACAATAGGTGGAGTAATAGAGAGAAGAGAGATTGTAGAATGTCATAAAATTATACTTTAAAAATTAAGTTCAGTTCAATTGTTTTTAAATTTAACAACTTACAACTGGAGATACATAATTCCTCATTTCATAGCTGTTATACTAAACTCTGTCCAGCCAACAAACAAAATAACCCAATACTGATACGGCTGAAGAAACTGCTACTTTGTGTTCATATTATCAAAAAATAAAAAAATCGGACTCTGTGATCACGTACACTATGCATGATGATATTTTGGAACACTCTGTTGCTTGTATCGACAGAGTACAGACAGTTCTCTTTTGTGAATATTACATTAAATGTTTTCAGGAACTAATCTAAAGACAACGAAGTTGGAAAAAAAATCGGGTTTCACTTATTACAGAAAAATATCTGTTGATTGCCCATTTTATCTTAGCCCTTGAGGTTTAGATGGGCAGTACCAAACGCTATTTTTTTCTTTCTTCTATAAATTAAACACATTTTAATAACCCCCTTCTTTATGTAAGTCTCCCACATCATTTCCCACAAATGGGAAACTTTTTTATTATTGAGCTGTCAGAAAATTTCGTCCCTAATAAAAAGTCTTGCATCATTTGAAACCCAGATAGCGTATATCCAATTTAAAAAACCATTTGCATATAAAGAAAATCAAAAGTTTTAAAATTGGTACCAGAGTGAGGTACCTTAATTTTTTTAGAAATACAAAATATCTTCAAACTGGAAGATGTATATTCAAAAGAGATTAATTTTTGATAAAGGTTTTTGTTTTTTACTTCTTCATTTTTATAACAAAAAGATGTGGAAATCTTCCGAAGAAAGCAATTTATTTCAAAATAAAGTCTTTCAGACAAACTCTGAAAGAAAAAGCCCCCTCGAAATATCTACTTTCATATTAACATTGAAATATACAAAAAAAACATTTCCTATTCAGGTTGTACTCCAAACATTCGTTATGGAATCGAATCAGATATCATTCACAGGATAGCTACACGTTAAAGTATATGAAAGAGGTGAAATTTCACTTACAGGGAACACTGTTATCCTCAATAGTGCACATCAATGTTTCGGAATAAGACACTTGTCTCATTGCCTCTTCTGCACCAACCTGGACACCATTACGAGATGAAGCACTGAATTTATTCATAAAATTACGACTTTGTCACGAATGAGTTATGTCTACTCATATCCGTGTTAAGAATCACACGTTTAAAGGTAAGTCCTCGTTAGTCCTTAGCTCGCACAAGTTTCTCAACTTCTGAGAGTTGTCGTTCGTATGGGGGCGGCAGCTGATTAA